TTCCCTTCAGCCTGCCTCATTTGTATAAAACATCTTAAAAGCAAAGTGCAAGTATGCATGGGATAAATGGTTAGAGGGCAAAGCTTGCTGTAGTGTCTGTTACATCGATGGAGCATGTCTTACATAATTGTGTAGCCAGAGTTCAGTGTGCCGGTAGGAATGCGCAATAGACTGTGTCACGAGCTGCATTTGTGCCATTGCAACCCAGAGTGTGACATAAGCTGCCCTGTCAGTGAGAATCACATGGCAATGACAGGATGTCCGTTAAAAAGCAACTCATCTGTGTTGTTTCCTTTGCATCCAGGCAAAAAAAAAAAAAAAGAAAAGAAAAGAAAAAAGCAACCTCCCCCTGTGCTGTGTTGCTGCCTTCATTTGCAGAAGTGAAGCCATCTTGCTCAACTTGGGCTACACCCTTCATTCCTACTGCGTGCCTTGTAAAGGGAGGATGGGGCAAGAAGGGATGTGTTATGTAGGTTCACTAAAGAAAAAAGAAAGAAAAGATCCAGCGCTTTAAAACAAAATGGCACAGACTGCCTGAGGACAGGCTTACAGGCCTCATGCTGCACATTACCATTTCCAGGCAGTGTCATGAATTCAGAGTGGCATTCAGACACTCCTGTTAGAAAATAAAACAGCCTACACTCCTTATTCGTGGTGATCTCAGGGTTAAAGTCAGATAGCCTTTCAAGTCCGGCAAACGGAGATCAGCAGAGTGTAAGAACGGGCCCTCTGCTCTATGAAGAGCGCTGCCAAAGCCACCGCCCTTTCTCTGTCTTTGTCCCCATTCCCAGTCTGAAATGTTCACTCTGTATTACAGACTACAATCTGGGACAGTAAACACTCTCAAGCAGGGCCACACCCACAGCAAAGGAATGCACCTGAATTGATATATGCAACAGATGCATAACGTTTAATTATCCTCCGTTTTCAGTCACTGAGGTGTAGCAGCATTCAAACCCCCGTCGCTGTCTCTCCAAACGTGGAGATAACTGCAGCAAAGTCCCAGTCATGATCGGGGTAATCTTATCTCGACCCTGAGGGTAGAGGTCAAAGAAGTAGGCTCAAAGCATGGTAAGAGGTCTCTGTCTCACCTAGTCTCAACTTTGCACTGTATGTTTTTGTGTTTTCTCTTCCTCACCTTCAGCAAAATGTCCCACCCACATATCATGTAACTTCTCTTCTCTTCTCTTCTCTTCTCTTCTCTTCTCTTCTCTTCTCTTCTCTTCTCTTCTCTTCTCTTCTCTTCTCTTCTCTTTCTGTTTAGCATAATTGTGGGCTAAAGTCTGATAAGAAAACCTCCTAAAGAGTTAAAATGTCAGCAGTTCCTCGGTTTGTACATGGTTCATTTACACCGTCCTGTTTACAAACCATCATTCCTATTTCTCATTTCCATTTCACGTCCTGCCCATTCAACTCCACTGTGTTTTTCCTTTTTCTTATCCCATTTTGCTGTGGCAGAAAATGCACATCGACGGTCCCAGATAAACTCAATCCTTTGTGTATTAGGCTGTGTGTTATCTGTATATAAGCCTGTCTCAAGGCCTTCGACAAAACCCCTCGGTTCTGTCTGCCTCCCTTTCTTGGATGATGCAGCCAGAAATAAAGAGAAGGGGGTGGGGAGGGTCAAACCTGACAGTGAAGCCTCAGCCTGGACAGTCCAGATGTAGATGAGTGGAGAGACAGGCGATGGGTAAGGAACCGAGCGATGGAAAAAAAGGAGTGGAGGAGACTGTGCGAGCACACAGCAGCCAGATGGAATTTCTAACATACGCAGCTGGAATGTCAGGAATGCAGGACAGTCTGATCTGACCAAGGGAGAGGGTGGAGAGGACAGACGAGTCAGGAAAGACAAAAAAAAGAAGAAGAAGAAGTGGAGATGTAGGAAAGAGTGGCACAGCAAAAGAGTCGGGAGACTCAACACTGGCTGGCTTTGTTAACATAAAAATACAGAGTCACTTTTCGTGGAGGGAGTGGCACGCGATGGAACAAATAAGCAATTCAGTTTCAATTTTGACGCTGTGGCAGTCATAGTGAACAGTTAACACTGCGAGTACTCCTGAGGGTGGCCCGGGGACTCGTACTGTACGTCCTCTTCACTGACTTCATTCAGAAACTTTCTTCCTAACTGCTAGTGGCTTGTTTCCAGAGATGCCAGTGTCAGTTTGTCAGTCTGTCATTCTGTTGATCCCGCACTTCCGCAAAGCCTGCAGTACAACAGCTGGCATGAAACTTGATGCGTGCATGCTAAGACGATAAAGTAAGGTGGTGAAAATTACTTTGGCTAAACGTCAGCACATTTGCATTGTCACTGAGTGCCTTTAAACATAATGGTTTTAGTTTTTACTCTTATGAAACACCATGGACCCCGCACGCATTAAGAGGAGTCAGACTAGAATGAAAGTTGCTCAGTTGCACCTATGGTCCAAACTCACTGACTAGCATAATTTGTGACTGAGTTATTGGCCAATTCCCACACAATTGGATAATCCTACTTCCTGTCTCTTAGATTAGAATGACTATACTGGTCATTCTAAGACCACATAGTACAAAATGGACTTCATTTTTCATTCAATGTGACGTGAAAGTAGTGATTAAGCCCATAAAGTCAAAAAGAAAGCGTTGCAGAGTGCAGAAGTGGACGGCTGTTTTCCCCATAGACTTCAATGCAACTAGGAAGTGTTTTTGAAACCAGAGTAGTCGCCCTCTATTGGCCATTAAAAGAATGCAGGTTTGAGACACTATCGTGTTGGCTTCCCTTTTTAGACCTGGAAGCTTCACTCATCTTTTATGCTTTTATGTCATTAAAGTCGTCAGTTGAGCTGATGGAGAGCATGTGCACAGGACTCCTGCCAGCATAGCTCACACGTTTCTTGCGGGTTTCCTAAACACAGAAATGGAATAAAAGAAAATAGATATACGCCTTCTAGTCTTTCCAAATGTTATTAACCCCAATTGATCAAATTCAGATAATATGCTGAAGTTACAGCGCAACCTAGCACTGTTCCTAAGGCTTTCTGTTAAAGGAATTCCACAAAGTGAGTTGCAGCAACGTGGCAACCAGAGACCACAGAAAATCAGCTAGAAACTTCATTCAAGCGATGTAGGCAAAATTACTGCTCATGACACAAAGTGGTTGGGTTAAACTTTCTCCACTTTAAGTTTCTGAAAGTGAAGGACACCTTTGACTGAAATATGCCAGGCTGATAAATAGAGGGCAACCTAGTGAACTGAAGCCTGTTCAGTACCCCAGCGTTGATGACCAGGTACAAATACTAATGAGGGAACTTTCATCTAGTGCACTGTCTCCACAGTTCTTATGGAGAGTGAGTGAATTTGCCTGCGATTGTCATGATAGCTGCTACATTTTGCAGATGTTTCCAACTGGTTCCACCTCTGACCATGCATGCTAAATTCTCCTAATGCGATGACATCACTTTAACACCGATAACCATCAAACAATAATGGTACAACGCATGTAACACCGACTCGTGTTTAGCTAAAACCACTGGTAGCATTTAACATTTAGCATTTAGCTAGCATTGGTTCTCAGGATGTATCCTCCTGCTGCTGATTCATTCTCAGTGAATACACTTGCACACTTGGAGCAACATGGATATAAAAGAATGTGGTTGGTTTTGTTTCCTGGAGGCCAACTACAGCACAGCACTAATTAAAAGTCCTCTGTAGCCCTAAAGAAAAATCAATCCCCCCAGCGGCTATTGTATCTGTAAAACTGATGATTGCACAATTTAAGTTGCACAAAACCTCTTTCATGACCTTTTCTGCAGTGGAATTTAGTATCTATAAAACAATTTAAGGGCTTAGGAAAGCCATTAAATGGTCATGAAAAATAAATGTGAAGTCCACAGGTGGGGACAAAATGGAAGCAAACCAGGAAGAAGGAAGGCTTTTCTTTGTAATCGTCGCACTGCGTCACACCAGTCACACCAGTCACATTGAATGTTTCATTTTAAATAAACAAATCAGACTGTTTACAAAAAAAGATAAGCTCGGGGTGTGGAGGTCAGCAATAATGTCAAATACTGAATCCTGAGAGATGGGGGTTGGGGTAGGGGGCACAGAGAGCCTAACTCCTGAAAGAGAGCAGAGGTGAAAGTCCTTTCTTTAAGATTCAAATGAACTAAAACCATTTCTGAGTAAATAAAGTAATCAGATGCCGTCTTTTTAAATCAAATATCTGACACAGAATTGGGAGGGTACTTAAAAAAAAAGATAATACACTTCATTCCTGATACTTTTACCAGTGCACGTCATCGACGAGTCAGAACAGGCAGGCTGCTGACTCACCCACTTCAGAAAAAAATCTGACGTTTGACATGAGCATATCTGTCCTAGTGGCTGGTTTTCTGTGCACACCCAGTAGATTTCATGTCAAAGCTCTGTGCATGCATAGAAATGACCCCTCAACTTGATGTTTGAGTAAAATCCAACTCAGTCTGAGGCAAAATGATTTCTCCCCATGGCCACGTCTCTGGCATTTTCATAAATCTTGCTGATTGAGACCCGCACAGCCACACCGTGCACAGTCCACAGGGCCGTGAACCACCTGAGATTATTCTTGCCCTCCTTACAGCAGGAATGTGCAGCATGTGTTACTCATCGTCGACGGGAGAAGTGGAGCATGTCCTCAGTATCTTAAGATCAACACAAAATTGCATTCTTTGAAGGCTAGAAAAACACTGAGCTACTTTACTTCACATGTGTTTGGCTGCAAGTGGTTAGTTTTCAAACTCTCTGCATGTGTATTTACTTCTTTGCATCAGCTCGAAACGCTTTCCAAGCCCTCGGGTCTGCATTGGAGTGAAATTCAGAAATAAGTTACAAACTGTCAAATAAAAACTAGAAGCAAAATTAAAAAGGAGAAGAAATAAAAATGTGGGGTAAAGACTAGAGCCGGTGTATTTACTCGGTAGTGCTGCATAAAGTGAAGCCAAGGCGGATGCATGTTTTTGGTTATGGCAAACCATTGTTTGGCCATTCACCCAAAACTACAAAGTAGATCTACAAAGTTCAGTAGGATTCAACCATTCCTATAAAGCAAAAAAAAAAAAGAAGAAAAAAGTATATTTAGAGAGTTTCTAACTACTGAAAACACTTCTTTTGTTTCTGGCAATAGCTGTCATCTGGTCAGAAGATGCGTTCCCCCGAATATCTGAGTCGACTGATTATGACATTCGTTTTCTCAAATGCGTATCATCTGGGTAACGTGAAAACAGCTAAAAAATCTGGCACACACTATTTGATAGACTGTACATAAAAGATGGCTGTCACACAATTGTTAGTGAAGTCACGTGTGAAACCTTAAGCAGCGTGTTTTGCAGTCACAGTTGTGTTTTAGAAGCAAAAATGACATTAGAAGCCAAAGTACTCTGGACTTATAAAATAGCCTTAATCCCACAGTTCAGCCTACCTTAGTTTAATCTCTTTTGGGTAAGGGGACTAAGACTTGAAAAAAGTTATTAAGGCTGTAAATTCATGAGAAAAAGTATTACTATCATCATAGAAAAGGAAGCAAAGAATAATTTTTCCACAGACTTTAACACTGTTGCACTTCTTTTTTCGTAGCCAGTGGATCTGCCCCCTCTGGCCATTAGAAAAAAATGCAGCTTTACTGGACGCTACATCCATCTTCTATATACAGTCAATCGCCTGGACCATGCTTCTAGCAAGGCTGGAAAATTCTGTATTTAGTTAGTTTAATTTAGATATGAATCTTATCTTTGTTAGTTAGCCTGCTTAAACCGCGTAGTCAGCTGTACAGTTACAACATACCACTAGGTTAGATGACAGCTCTAATGTAGATGAGTTATAGTACAGGTGTTCTCTGGAACACACCCAAACTTTTTTAAAACTTCAAAAACAAATATTTCTTTGGACTTCTGCAGGGTCTCTTCTCTCTTGTACGGGCTGTCTACTCCTATTCAGCGCTTCTCGCTCATCCTTTGTAACCACGGTAACTGACAAAATTTCTTTTTTTTTTCTCGTTCAGGAGGCTGCTCTCTGAATGCGAGCATCCTGTAACTAAAAGAATGTCTAAGAATTTCTCGCTGGCACCGTATATCGTGCAGAGGCAGCTGAGCCGCTGATCCGCTTGTCCATCCTGGTGATCTGACGCATGATCTTGTGTGCATCTCCCCGGGCACTTTTTTTTTCTTTGCATATCAGCTCACTTCACCCACTTACTCACAGCTGATTGCACACACTGTGATTCGACTGCACCCACTTACTGTACGTGTGTGACTGGCTGTATGCCGCCTCATGCCCACGCTACTAAAGCAGGGAGTTTGTAGGGGAAGTTAAACAATCTTTTCTTCTCTTTCTGCAGAAATACATGCACCTAAAGCCAGAGGAAGAAAGAGGAAGGAGTCACCATTTGCGCCTTAAAGCGGATTGTGCATCACTGCAGGCTCTCTCACGCTCGCCGGCTTCATACCAGCTGATGCACAGCAGTTCTTCACTGGCAAGCTTTATGTTTCTGTACACATGCTAAAGCTGCCAGCTGAAGAACTGCTCTGGCCAGCTCTGCTCCCGGAAGGCTCAAGAAGAGGAAGCAGATGACGGGTGATGGGAATTTGGCTGAAGAGGACGTTTATAACCTGTAAGATTGGACCCAGAAACATTGTATAGATTATAGGCAGACATGTTATCTTTTTCCCACCAAAAACTGCTTGAATTGTGTTTTTTATGTCTTTCAATAAAGCACAAAATATTTTCTCAGATGTGTTGTTGCAGTCACGCTATAGACAATAAAGCGCATACCAGCACTGCATGTTCTCTCGTCCAAAAATAACAGCACACTCACAGAGAGGCACATGACTACGCAAAAATGTGTCACACCTAATGGCTTTTAAGTATCTGGTGATCCCATCAAAGGAGAGCAACAAAGGATCAGAGTAAATTAAGATGCTCTTTAAATGCTAAATTGTCAAAGCAAATTGGTTTCAGATCTGCAATAACTGCCCGGTCTTTGTTCTCATGTTAAGTCAACACGATGGCATTCAGTCAGGACTGTTTGTACCCTGTTGGATTGCTGTTACATATAAACCAGAAAGAGAAGAGAAAAAAACTTAAACCTAATGTCTGTTGTTCAGAGCCTAAAGGCATCGCCAGCTGCTTTAAGGAATTCCTTCACAGCGTGTTCAAGGGTGAACTCACACGATTGTCAAACTGGGAGAGGCCCTGAAATTGAAAAAACTATGTATAGTATAGCAAACTACTTCTTTTTTTACGTAAAGGATAAAAATGTATAGTTGTTTCAGTTTTTCTTTCAGAGTTAGTAAGCTGATTAAAAACAAAAATCAGTCACATTATGCTGATGTAATTTTTCAGCAGTACTCCAAATATACATATGACTGGAAATCACATTCAGCACATTTGGCAACTTTTTAAAGCTGAACGAGCTCTTGCGGTTTGTTGGGCTGAGAAATCCTGAGTATTTTGTTCCACACTGAGAAACAGGAATTTGAAAGACGAAAGTAGAAGTTGAGAGTTGTTAGCGCAAACAACTTGATGATCTTAGTGCAGTGTCACAAAATCACCACCAG